TGAATGGGGAGCAGGTAATCTATATTTATTTTGACTCTTTGCTATTCAGAAATGTCTGGTTTCTATACTTATTGTTGATATTACTTTATAGGTGGTTTAACTTATGTTACAAACATGGAAGGTGTTTCTGAAATTATGTTTGATACTGACATCCCAGAGATTCAGTTCTTCAAATCGCAGTAAGCACATTATACTTAGTTGGTTCTATAAAGCTGTGTAGTATATATACTAAAAACTTTGTTCTTCCTCATATATTGAAATTCATGTCTTTGCAGAATTCCAATCATCAATTTCTAAAGTTTTGAAGTTATTCTAACTAATTATTGATTGGAGTTGTTTTTATATAATACCTATTTATATTTAGACCATTATTTGTTTTTGGAAGAATGAGATTATGCATCTTTATTATAATAGAATTGAGTTTATTTTATTTATATTAGATTTCTCATCTTCCTTAACCTAGAGACTTACCATAGTGAGGAGGAGTATTTGAGTAGTTGAGTAGTTGAATTATAGTTTCACATTCATTCGAAATAAATTACTATGTTTTTAAAAAGTCTTTACTATTGCATTATATAAATGGATGTCGGAATTAAGAAAAATTCTATAAAATAATAGTTAAACAATTAAATAATGGAGGTATTACGAAATTAAATAGTAGAGAAGAGTATATAAGTGTATTTTATTTGGTTAAACATATTTAATGAAATATTGTTTAGTGAATTATTTATTTATATTTTAAAATAAATTTGATTTGATATAAGATGACACTAAATAATTAAATTTAGTCATTGTGTTATCACCATAAAATCAAAATCGCAATTTAACCAAAAAAAATATATTTAAAATATAGATATATAATTGGACGATATTAAAACCCGAAACAACCAATCCAAAACAAACTAATATGCAAATAAAATAGATATAATGTCTTCTTATCTTCAAAAATATTTTAAACAATATTTTAAATATAGATATATAATTGGACGATATTAAAACCCGAAACAACCAATCCAAAACAAACTAATATGAAAATAAAACAGATATAATGTCTTCTTATCTTCAAAAATATAACAAATTTAATCATCTCATCCCGCGCAATGCGCGGGTCTAATCCTAGTATATCGTAAAAGACTTTACACGAGCAACATTTTTTTTGTAGATGCATTCCCTAATCAGATCATTACAAATATGAATAGTGGCATAACAAAAAAAACTCGATCGTGCCACTTCAAATTCAATAAACGGTGACAGCCTAAATCAAAGATAAAATAATAATTTTATCAGCAAAAAAAAAACATAAAATAATAAACAGAATTCATTTGAGTTTCAAATTCAACAAACCGTCACAGTCACAGCCAAAATCAAATATAAATAATGAACAAAATTCATTTGAGGAATTAAATACAAAAACAAATATGAATTATCTTGTTAACAAGTGTAAGTAAAACTGGATTCAATGACACATAAACACACAGAAACTGTTAATAGCTATTATTAATATGCTCTCATGTGGCCATCTTCCATTGTAGAATTTAATCTACTAATGTGCTCTCGTATGGACTGTCTCAAGATACTAATCACTTCAACGACAGTTTTACCGTATTTACTCATTAAAAGTTGATAATCTAAATTTAAAAAAAAAACATTAGCCAAGGTTTTGTTTCACTAATGTGAAAATCTGCGTTTGTGACTTCATTAAGTGTCAAAAGAGGAAGGGAAAATATATCAACTAAAACTTGAAGATTCAATATGCAGAACAATTTTTTAGAATATTGGACAATGTTATTGACCCACGAGAGTCCTCAACATGTGATATTTCCTCAAGCTGAGATGCTTGTCTTCATTTGTATGGTTGGTTGCGACATACATATAAATCTCTGAATTGCTTAACGTGCCATTAAAAGTTTGACAATTGAAATTTGTCTTATCATTCCCACTAGATCAGATGATGTGTTCCCCCTTAGTTATTAGCACTCAACAAGTGGAGAAGCACATAATCCAATGTTTTACAGCATGTGGCAGACAACACACTCTCGGGCTTAACCAACAATTATGGCAAGTGTTACTCAGAATGTGCAGCAATGGGTGTTAATTTAGTGTTGTTATGATTGTGCAGCCATAATTGTGTGGAATGTGATGATTTGTTTGGTTTTACGATTGGTGTTATGGGTAGTGTTAAGAGTAATGGGCTTAGGATGACATTTTCGCGTTGTGCACAAACGTTTAAAATAGTCTGCTGGTTCATTAAATAATATCTTACTCTTGGAAGCAGTTGGGGATGTTTTTGTGTGTTTTTTAAGCAATTGGGTTCTCGGTTTCAACGGATGAGAAAGTTCTGGAATGTTGTTCTTGAACGTGGAATCACTATGGAATAATTTTGGAAACGAAGAAACTCATCGTCCCTTTATAACATGTTCACCTTCCCTTTCTTTCAAAGTGTTGAAAAGAGATTCTTGATAATCAAGAGACGTGCTGTAATTTCCATGAGAAAAATATGTCTTATTTTGAAATATTAGTCATTTCTTACAGAGAAGAATACTCTAACTATTGGCTAATATGGTTCTAAGTCGATTTGATGCTTGAGGTATCAGTAATGCCATCGACATTACTTTCTTTACAGAAAAAAAGTTTCCGAAGCTTAACCACCAAAGGTAAGCACGCACAATTTCATTTTGTGTTCAATACGCAATGGTACTAACCTGCTAGCTAGCGAATGGTATTGATTTTAAATATTCAAAATAATAAATCGTAACATTATATAAAAGTATATTAATTTTTTTTATAATATTTTTAATTAAATTGCTTTAATTGACTAATAGTAATGTTATGATTAAAATATAGTTTTTAAAAAAGCTTTCAAATATAGTTTAAAGTACATAATCGGTGATGCATTATTTTCTTAAATTAGATTATTATTTAAAACTTTGTTTTCTTAAAAGATAGTGAATTATAAATATCAGTAATGGATTTGGTGAATATATGCATGAAGATAAAAATATAAATATTTAATTTTCAAGTAATAAATTAGTCTTTTATTCAGTTATCAATATATCATATCTTTCATTGTTTTTAAATTATAAATAAATTATATAAAAATTAATCTTCCAAACTTAAACTATTTTTTTCAATAAAAATATTTTAAGCAATTGTTTTAAAATAAAAAAATAAATGGTTATTCACATATAATGATTAAGATTTATATTATACTATCATTTAACATGTATTAGATACGTTTTGATATATCATTATTTTCTAATTTTAGAAAAACAATAAATGGTTAAATATCAATATCATTTAGGTTAAGTATACGAACAACACAAATTCAAAGATCATAAAAAATACTCGTATAAACATTACAATAAGATAACTTTAATCTCAATAACCTACGATTCAAAACACAATGTTATTTTTTCAACATTTTTTTGAAGAGTTATTCTAGGTTCACCCCCTAGGGTGAACCTCTAGGTTCACCATACAATAGGATTTCACTATTTCATATTTGATATCTTTCAAAAAAAGGAAACAAAATCTTGTTAAGCTATATTATGTTTTTAAAAATAAAAATACAAAAATAAATAAAAAAATAATAATAATTAATAAAAACGAAAATGATCTTTTTTTAAAGAAAATATTTTAACACTAAACCCTAAACTCTAATCCTAAAACCTAAACCCATAGGTAAATCCTAAACCTTTGGATAACTTTTATAAAAAAAGTTTTGTAAAGAAAAATATTTTAACACTAAACCCTAAAATCTAATCCTAAACCCTAAACCCTTGGGTAAATCATAAACACTAAACCCTAAACTTTAATCCTAAACCATAAACCCTTGGGTAAATCATAAATACTAAACCCTAAACTCTAATCCTAAACCCTTGGGTAAATCATAAATATTAAATTTTTAAAACACTATAAGATTTATTTAAAGGTTTATTTATGATTTAACCATGGATTAGGGTTTGTGATTATAGTTTAGGGTTTAATGCTAAAATATTTTCTTTAAAAAGAATTATTTTGGTTTTTATTTATTTTCTATTTTTATTTAAAAAAACATAATATAACTTAATAATATTTTCTTTCCTTTTTAAAAAGATATCAAATATGAAATAATGCAATCCTATTGGATGGTGAACCTAGAGGTTCATCCTAGGGGGTAAACCCAAGAATAAGTCTTTTTTGAATAGTTAAAATACAATATTCAAAAGAATAGGTATATAATTAATATTTTTGAAAATCAAAGAGGTAGTATATGTAAAGAGAAATAATGGAAAAGTCTTGGATCTCTTCCTTAGTGAAAAGAGAATCATAAATATTTCTATTACATTTCTAGAAGGTTTGGGTGATTAAAAGCTCACCGAAACATTTTTCAACAAGGATGATTAATTTTTGACTTACAGTTGAAAGGGCCATTTTAGACCGTAAGTCGTAAGGGAATGACCTGATTATGGTGTCCCAAAACTACTAATATACAACTTGAAAACCCAGTTGGATTCGAAATTATGTTCTGACGTTTCTCACTGCTCTGTTCTCAATGTTGTCGCGAAAATAGTTGTCAGCAAATGATCATCTCGGATTTTCATCTTGCTGTTAAAAGTTTTCTGATGTCACAAGCGTAATATATAATCTCCATTCAGCCATCTCACATGCTTTTGTGGCATTAAACATTCATCATTTACACCAAAGCAGAAACAAATTGTCTCTGAAATAACAATGTTTTCACCACCAAAGGTAACAAATTTTCATTTTGAACAATCAATCATTTATATCCATGTGTTCAATGCGTAATGGTACTAACCTGCTAGCTAGCTAGCGAATGGTATCGAGCTATCTTAATGTCAGTGCAAACGAAAAAAAGACTAACCGCACCAACTCAGTGTGTTGCACAACTAGTCTATTGATTGATTCAATATAAGAACAAGAAGAAACACATTTAACAACATCAACAAGGAGTATCCACCAATTAAGTTTTCTTAAATAAAAAATAGTCAAAGACTAACATTAATAGAAGACAAATCATAGAGGTCAGGGTCCATAGTGAAGACATGATGAATGCACTGGATGATCCCCCAAATCTGGCTATCCCGCCTCTCAAGTGAAATCTCGGCACACCAAACCTGCAACTTGTCCCCGACGAGCACGCTCCAGAAGATGACAATGTTGCCAGCAGCGGATTTGCTGATTTTGAAGCCTGGAATTAAGCCTAGGAGGCCGTCTG